AGACTAAATGCATAGCAAGAACATTCACATAGAAGTTGCAAGATTTAAAAACAGATTGCATGGGAACATATGTTACTACTTCTGAGTTTATGTGGATGTCAACAGTTGCTGTTCTGAGAAAGCATGTGCAGTATTGTTCACGCTTGAAAATAAAAAGGTGCAATGTCATCTCATGTAAATCTAGATGTGGGGAAAAAAAAGTACTTTTAATTGATAGACTTGCAGCACATATGGAACTATTCAACACAGATATGCTGTAGGCAGACCTACCTACCTAGAAATTATCTGCCGAAAAACTGTAACTTACAAGAGCAAAACAGTCAAAGTGCTGTGGGGGATGCAAAATGTGTTTGAATGAAAAAGGAAATATATTTGGAGTCAGAAAAAACTGGGCCTGAGTATTCACAAGAAGAATTTGACCCTGCAGGGCTACAGAAGGAAAGTCATTGCTCCCTGAAGCCAATGGAGCCGTTTCACTGAGTCTGAATGAGGCCCTAAAAGAATAGTGAGTGAGACTGTTTGTTTGTACTGCTTCAGTTCTGCAATGCAACTAAGGAAGCAACAGGCTGACTGAGATACCAGACTAAAAGAAAAGGAAATTCAAGTTTGATTTCTGATTTCACAGTTTAGATGAGCTTAGATTGAAGTCAGATTTGTTAAAAAATAAAAGAAAGAAAAAAAAAATCTCAACTCCCACTTAGGGAAGGTCAAAGCTTGCAAAGTGCTCAACACCAGTCAGCTCTCACTGGAAAATATTTTGAAGTGAATTACTTGGAATACTGACGCTCAGTTACAGGTCCTGAGTTGTTTTGCATGTATCAGTCTCTGTAGGTAGATTCTCTGCCTGTGCAGTGAGGATGCTGTTATTTCTTCTGTCCTACCCTATGTCTAGTCTAGACCTTTGAGGTCAAAACTACCCCTAACACAATGGGGAACCTATGTTGAGCTTTAAGATACTCTTTGAACAAAAAAAAATCAATAGCAATATTGCTGAAATTTCTATGTTTTGTCTTCTAAAATAAAACTTTCTTAATAAAGTATGCTATTAAAATTCCTCTTTGAAGAAAAAGGAGTGCATACTTTTTCTTGCAAAGCATAGGAAACACGTTTAAAGTCATTCTATGTAAGTAACCATTCTAAAATAGACTGGAGGTGCCCTGAAAAATTATTCCCAAAGATTAGAAAGATAAAATACATAGATTAGCAAATTTCACGCTGAGGGATACACTAGAGGTCATTCAGCAAACAATGGATTATAACACATTTTTAAACAGTTCTGGTTCCTTTACATCACTCCGCTTTAGTCTGCTCTTGATCTTGCTCTCCTCTAATATGCCTAGATGTGCCACTCTCAAAACAATCATCACTATCAATCAAAGTCTACTAGAGAAAGGCAGTGTTTTCTAGTTCTCAATCAGGTGGCTAAGTTTTTCGATTAAACTGCATACTTTTTAAAAACTATTTTACATTACAAGAGGAAATTTAAGCCTCAGACTTTGCTACGACTAAAATTTGAAGAGCTGAGAGGGAGAGTCAAGCCAGATCTTTCTTTAATCCACTCTGTAAATGAAGGAGCTTCATTTGCTTTTCCTTGTACCTCTTTTGCAAGCATTTATGCACACACAATGACATGAGCAGCCTGACTGAAGGCAACTGAGACTACTCATGTGCACGCTTTTCCGCATATCTCTACAAGTTTGTGAGGCTAAAAGTCAGTTCTGGAAGTGCTGAGAACAATTTGTTCCTTCAAATTAGCACTTGTCTGCTGGGGGGGGGGGAATGAAAGGCTGAATATTAATAAATACTTACTTCAGATTGTATTGAATTTAGTAGAACCAGATTTTTCCCCATTTTAAATTAATAAGAGCGGTGTATTGGTGTCAGTGAAAACCGGGTTTTTTAACAAGTTACATGCAAGTAGTCAAATTAAGTAACTTCACAACTGTCCTAACATCACATTTTATGGGGTTTTTTTTGTAAAGTAACTTAAGCATTTGCTATTGCATGGTATCCACAGCACAATTTTTGTTGTTTTTGTTAAGAGTATCTTCAGAAAGTCCAAGTCACCGAGATGTTAACAACTCATATGAACAGAATTGCTTCCACCATTGATCCTATAATGTTTAGAAACAGCTGAACTGAAAAATCAGTCACTGCAACAATTACCAACTACTAATAAACATCACTGCTGAGCCTCATTGCTCAGGCATACACTGAAATGTGCCCAGTACATTTCAGCTTCTCCTGGATTTATTAGTTGTCACTGTACAGTTGACATGTCTTCACTTGAACCAATGGAAGTTTTGCAACTGAGTTAAGGGGATCAAGATTTCATTTGTAGTGATCAAATTAAAAATGTAAAAAAGTTTTTCACAGATTAGGATCCTGAATTTCAAAGTCTGTAAACATGCTTGCTTTCATAACCTATTCACATTTTTGTTCCAGTTTCCAAGTACTGGCTTCTGACACAGTTTGATTTGATGGCAGAAACTGAAATAATAAACACCCTAACATCACTATACAACTAAAACAACCCCTGATCAAGCAGTTGCTTGATCCTTTCAGAACTAGGGGGAATTGATTTGGCTCATAAATACTAATTCAAGTCAGTATGAAAAAAGCCTTTGTATCAGGGCTGTTTTCTTTTCTCAGACCAGCTGAAATACCCTTTGTCATGTCACTGCTCCGTGTGCTATTTAAACACCTATATATGGATTTTTTTTTTTTAAATCTGACATAAAGAAAGCAGTAGCAGCTGTCTGGTTGAGTTTCCTTTACATTAATTCGACCTTAAGTCCTTCAATGTTATTACAGGTTCTGCTTTAAAAATGGTCACTCATCTAACGTTTCAAGGCGATTTTTACCTAATTGCAGCTGACTGTCCAACATGTATGATATTTATGAAAAATACATTTGCTTCTCAGTCTGTAACACCACACACAGTAGCAGACATAAAAATAGGTACTTCTCATATAATACATGAATATTTCTCGAGGACTAAGGTAGAAATTGATGTATTTCTCTCTCGCGCTCTATAAATCGGTATTTTTACCCCTTGTTTCTGTTCGATGTTCACCTTTTAGGAAGGACAGAAAGCTTTTTAAGCACTAAATTCCATTTTCTTTCCTTTTTTCTTTTTTTTTTTCCTGGCATAATTGAGAGTTGGTGCTTACTCTCGTTCCATTTAAATTGCCCGAGTGACACTGAACCAGCACACACAAACGCCGGCTGTCTGTACGGCTCGATCATTTAAGCGTTGCCTGCAGTTCTTTGTTCTGAAACAAGCCGTTTGGTGGCGAAAAACGCGCTTCTGGCCCAGGAGCTGGGCAGAGTTACCTCAGCGGCGCGGCGCAACCGCGACGTGACCGCGCAGCCCCGCCGCCGCGGCAGAACCAAGCGCGTTTCGGCGGCGGGGGCGAGTGGTCTCTCCCGGCGTTGATGTCCGGGCCGGG